ACGAAACAAGTATACAAGACGAGTGTGGATGGGAGAGTTGGAAGGGGTCGACCTCAGCGAACGTACCTCAATCAGACTGAGGACATTTTTAGCAAAGGCCAGTTTAGGAGTACTCTAATTAAGTTAATAACAATGTACCTACCTATATAGTTTAAAAAATTTGGCTCTCAAAATAAATTTCAATCATTGTACTGTTGATATTTGGCTCTGTTGACTAATGAGTTTGCCCACCACTGGTCACGTTTAGATCATCAGTCACATGTCAGCTAACTCATTTTCCGAGTGTTTGGGGCCCTAATTCAGATCAGCACCATTGCTCAGCAGTGAGAAGGGGCTTTAGACTCCCCCTAGCCTTTTTGGTGCTACAAAATATCACTGAGGGGGTGCTGAGGGATCACAGGTGTACTGATCGCTTCTAAACTCCCTCTCTCCCACACCATGATCCCAATCTGACCTGGATGTCTGCATGCTTTTGGATGTCTGTTTCCGGAAGCTGATGTGTGACTGGATACTCTGAGAGCTGAGTCAGTGAACCCAAACCCAAGTCATGAAAAATCATAATGTTTAGTAGGAGTGTGTATCCTGAAATCCTGAAATTAAAATATACCCAAGAAATGGTTGCATTGTGTGTATTTATGGAGTGAAAAAATTGAATTTTCTGGAATTATGGTGGGGGGACCCAAATTTCCTTGGAATGGGAATTCTGGGTGGAGGGAGTCTGGAGAAGATGTTTTTATGGCATCTGGCATGAATTTTGCAGGGAATGAAGTCCTCCTCTCCTAAGGCTCCCCAAATTTCAGAAGATTGTACAAAGGTGTCTGATTTATGGACACCGAAAAGAGGTGGCCCCAGTCATCCTGGTCTCCAGTTTTTCTTATGGGGGGGAAATGCCATGCTTCCTACAGGGCAAAGGTGCCACAATAGTCAAGCATACAAAAACTGGTCATACCACAGAATCCACATGGAACAAATGTCAAACAAGAGAATATATGCAGAACCAAGTCAGTCATACTTGCCTAGCCAAAGTACTCGGTTCTAGACTCTGGGAAAAGGGGGCACCTTGTTCTGGTGTCTGTAAACTTGGACCCCTTTGTCCAGTTGCCTTCCAATCTGAGGAATCTTTAGACAGTAGGCATACTTGGTTCCCTGCAAGTTTTGTATTGTTTGCTTTCAAAACACCTGCTCAAGACTCCCAGAAAGATCTGCTATTCTTCCATAGGAAACAATAGACCCCCAAATCCAGAAATCTGGGGGGAGACACACACACACGCACATACAACATAAAAATGATCCAGAATACTCTAAAATTTGGCATTATGATATTAGTGCCCTATCCAAAATCAGAATTGGAACTTTTACTGATTTTTTTTCTAGTGGCACACTTTCCAGTGGTGCACTTTCTAGTTTGGCCCAAGGTGGCACATATGAGTGAAAGAGAAAGAGATTAACGTTTCCACTTTCAATTGTGGATGGTGTTTGATATTTTCACAAAGGACTTGCCTCTTGGCTCTAACTTGTATATCTCTGGTACAAAACTCTGATAGTTGTCTCCAGCCTAAATGCAGCACATAACTCTTGAAGAGGAGAAAGCCATGGATCGTGGTATGCAGGCCAATTGGTATATTTAATCTTGGCAGAATTGCTGTTATGCTCAGATATTTTGTCATATAAAAAGATAAATTCTGGAATGTTTTTATAGAACTAACAATGTGATTTAAAAAAAGAAAACCTTCTCCTCTCACTTATTTTGATGAACTGATACCTGAAGGTTACCCCTTCACTGATCAGAAAGTCTGAGGAATTACTGACCCCTAAGTAGCATCATTTTCAGTGACTGCCTTTTTGAGGCTTCTGCCAAGAACAAGGTCCCTGAAAGAAAAATGGTCAATGTGACAGGCTTAAATCCAGTGGAATTTTTAATGTTCTGAGCACAGAACCTAAAACAAAGTCTGCTAGATTGTTTTTTTTATCTGAATTTACTCACTTCAGCATTAATCAGATAACTGCTTTGAATTCGCAAATGTAACACTTGAGAATGAATGATGTTCTTTAAGGGTGCATTTACATTTATCTGACCAAATTCATGCAGACTCAGCCATCTGCAGAGGAACTTGGCTCAGCTGCACTTTATCTCTCGTTCTCTTTTATTTTCCCCCCTAGTGCAAAACGATAGGGATGACAGGAGGAGAATATATAAGGGATCCCCACTGAGATTCAGCTCTATAAATTATGTATTACGCAGACACTACTCTGCTGATTCTATCTGATCCCCAATTCTCAATCCCTTGTTTTTGCTTCTATAAATAGCTATGCCCAGACTTTCAGTTGTAAAGTGATGAGGACAAAAGCAGAAACCCTTTCCCATTTAATAGCTTGTGCTAGCAAGACTCTTTTTTTAATATTGTGATTCCCTCAGGCCTTTGACAGTCTGGGAATATAAGCAGTGCTGTATTGTTGATAACATGGGGAAATCGAGTGAGGAAATTACTTATTTTTTAAATACTTTGTGTGTGTTTTTCAAACAGTTGTTTTAAATGTAGTCAGTTGGATTTCTGTGTCAATTCACAGCTTGTCAAAGTAACATATCTTGTCTCTTTTTTTTCCCCCTCAGACCCGAATGCTTTGGCTGGACAGACTGGACCAGACCATGCTCTTATAGGAGGGATAGTGGCTGTAGTTGTCTTCGTCACGCTATGTTCTATAATTCTCCTTGGTCGATATCTGGCAAGACATAAAGGTAGGCTAGATTTAATCGAAGTGCAGTCACCTTTTGCAGCAATACTTCCTAGTGATTAGCTTTTGCCTGCCACACTTTTTCTGTTTCCTTCATCCCAGGAAAACTCAGCTCAGATCATGCAGCCTCAGGTTTTTAGCAAGGTCTTGGATTTTACCCAATTTTACAGTTGGATTAACTGTGGCAAAATAACGTCTAGCAATTTGCCCAAGGTCATGCAAGGAGTCAGTGACTCAGGGAATCAGACAAGTGAAAAGACAGTTAGGTTACTTTGCTGTGCCATAAAGCAGACCTAGATGGCTTCTTAGTTTAGCAGGTTTGATACTTCGACATTCTGTGTGAGTCTGTATACAGGCAGTTGAGACGAAGACAAACAGACATAAACTGTTGGTTGAAAGTCACAACAAAAATATTGAGGATTAAAATCTAAAGTTTGGGGTTAAAAAAAAACTTGTCAGTACTAACAGACATACAGATGGGGGGGGGGAGGAGTTAAGTCCGGACTGTTTAAAGTCATGTATTATTTATTTATTTATTTTGCCAAACAGGAATGCTTGCAAAGTTCCCTTCATTCAAATATTCCCCTGAATTTTGGAGTTACATTTTTTTATTTCTGAAGATGAGCTAATTCATTAGAAAGTCTCCATTGTTCTGTGCCCCCCCAAAAAAAATGTTAATTCATTTTCCATGTGCATGCATATTTTGCAATAGCTTTTGGTTCCAAATAGTAATTTTGTGTCTTTCTCTTTTTGTATTACCAGTGCCCACATATTCATTGATACAAATCTGAAAAAAACCTTGCACCACGGTTTGATTATACATGAAGTTGGATGAAGATTTTTTGTGTGGTCTTCTATTGCTGTGCACATGTACTTGTATGCATCAATAAAACATCACACAAAAAGGATCTTGATGAAGCCTGCAGTGTTTTAACAATATGCTCTTGTACACTGGGAATGTAGATAAGGGGGAAAGTGCAAATAAGCAGTGAATCAAACTGTGCCCCCTCCTATTCTGGAATTAATGTCACAATTGTGTAGGTAAACTGGAATTTGATAGGTGAAATATCATGCACAGGGAAATTGTGGAACAATACTCATCCTTATAACTGTGTTTTGTTTTGTTTTGTTTTAATCTTAGTTGAAAAAAAAATGCATTTTAACTATTGTACATTCAAGAACGCTCGACAACCTCATTAATTTTTAATCAGATAGATATTGTTGTAAAGATGTCTGTTCCTTTAGAATGAGTAGCTGCTTTTCACTTTCACCTGCCCCAGAACAAACATTTGACCTAGGTTTGCAATGAATGCTGGTTCAGCTCATTTATACAGGCTAATAAAGAATGCCTCTTTTAAGCTAATGAGTAAGCATGCATACAAAAGGAACAAGTAATTTGATAAATCTAGTGGAGAATGTAACACCTGTGTTCCACTCTTCTTAGAGAGGACAACACGCACACATCCCTAGCTCCAAAATAAGCAACACTGCTCTTTAAGTGAAAACTGGCTGTTTCAGACTTCACTGACTATAAGCATTTTGCTGCACGAATCCAAGACTTGCAAATAGAAAGTGCCTACTGCCATGCCAGGCTAACTAAACAAAATCAGGAGGTTGCAGAGGCACCGCAGGTGGATATGCTGGCATGAATATTTCAGATTTGTGTTTCAAGTATAACAATATTCAAGTATAACCAGTTTCAATGACAACAGTGGATTAACCTAATGTAGCTATTGTAAGGCATGATTCAACCAATGTTAAGCACCTTTAGTCTCCCAATGGGAAAAAGTTGCATGGATTTAGCATTCTTGCATTGAAATGAATGAGACATAAAATGCTAGCTTTGAAATTATAGGGTTTATTACTTGGTTGAATTTGAGAGGCCAGGAACATTTCTGACTTTGTCAGAAAGCAGCAAAATAATTAGGAGACATTTCCCCAAACATTTATTGTTAATGAATTCTTAGCAGTGTGGCCTTTCTGTGCTGTTGGCTTGTATTTGTAACCTTATAAGGGCTATGAATTATAATTACTGCTTTCCCAAATTGGAGGATCAGGCATACTGTTCGTCCTACAATGTTGTGCGACATTTACACTACACCTCACTAGGACCAATTAGTCCTCTGTAACAGAGCTGCATTTGAAAAAAAAGCACTCCACACTATCAAAAGCACTAACATTTTTTGTCTCCCACAGGAACATATTTAACAAATGAAGCTAAAGGAGCTGAAGATGCACCTGATGCAGATACAGCCATTATCAATGCAGAAGGCAGCCAAGTCAATGCAGAAGAGAAGAAGGAATATTTCATATAGATGCAGACTTAGGTTCTCTGAGTATTACTCACCAGGCTGACTGCTGGAGAAAACTGGCTCCCATCTTTCAGCATTATTTTCTCCCATCCTTTTGCTACCTTTATTAATGTAAACAACATCTTTCAGTAGCCAGTTTATGCCAACAATCAGCTGTGGACAGCATTTTTCTTTAATTACGGTACCATTCATAATGCAGGACATTTCTTATGGCCTAAATGTCATATCCATTGCTCTCTTAACATACAGTGCTTGAATATACAGCCTTAACAATTTTAATCATCTTCTCAGTTAATGTTGTTGAGTTTTTTCTACATTTTTTTTAAAAAGATGGTATATGGATTTTCCTTTTTCCATTGTCTTTCCTCAAGGTCCTTACCAGTAATTCACCAATCATTGTCATAGCAAAATGTTTTTAGTGAGGATCCAAATGTACTTACATAAAACATTACAAGGAAGACTAGAGGTTTACAAAGAATGTTTTATATATATCTATAATTCAAAATCAGCCTAGTTCTGAGACATTATGCCCTAGAAAACATCAACTCCGAGCATTCTAGCATAGTTTCTCATGTATTTGTTTGGAAATGATAGTGAAGACGGTGTGAACAGACCTTTTCTTTTAATGGCACATTGGTACTAAAGTTCCACTGGGGTGGTAACCTCACCATGCAGTCTGTCGGTATAGAATCCGAAGAGCTGGCTTGTGTAGCTCCATTTTGAAAACATTTGTCCAGCTCTCTTACTGCTTTTAGGGTTATAAAGACTTCCATTTCTATTTCTGTCTTTTCTGTTTTCCTTTTAATTTATTTGCTTCACATGGGCTCACCTGCCTACTCAAACTGGACGTCTTCATGGGGCACAGCTGCAAGGCATTTTAGTATCTGTATATAGTGCATATAATAAAACCAATTAAACATTATTTGATACATATTTAACTTTTGGGGCTGTAGGTAAGTCAGTCACAAGTAAGCATTTTCTAATGTCCATTATATCCCTTTAGATATGACTTAATATTCTGAGTAGATAACATGTATTAGTACTTTTTGTCTGTATGTCCTAGCACTGTTCAGCAGCAAACTTTTTCTAGTTCCAGTTAATTTTTCTTTGTTATACAATGGAAGCACAATGTTATATGGAAAGGTAGTTTTAAGCTAACAACCAGTGCACAGCCTCAGGTTTTAAATTACAACCACATTAATGATTAATGGTTAAGTTGCTAAAATTTTCAATTTATAATTTGGCAGTTCCGGAGCTGCTTATCTATGTTGGATTTGCCAAAACACAAACAACGAAAGTGTTACAACAAAAGCTCTATGTTTTGTGTATATGGTAAATGGACTAATTCTTTATATTAAATTCCTGTCTATGCATTTTGTGAGGTACAAACTTATGTCACAGTGAATGATAGAGAATTTCTGCCATGCTTTTAGCTCCACAGTAAAGACCTCTCTGAGATCATTCTCCAAATGTGGGGCAAAAATTACAGCTTAAAAAAAAACACCCCTCAGGATTTAAACATACCATAATATAAGCTGATTGGCTTGATTCCTCTTCCCGGAAAATCAAAACATCACCAGATGAGCTCTTCCTTACTGGTCCCATGTCAGAAGATTAAAATCAGCAGAGACTGTCTTTCAACTCCTACGTGCTGCACCTTAGAAAAAGGAATATTTCTATATGGATGCTACTACTGGTGAAGTCTAAAAGCATAATGGCCTATTGTAAAGGATTATCTCCAGGGATTTATTTTTTGCGTGGGGGAGGGAAGGAGGGAGGGTAGCATTTGATTATGACATCATGTGTCGCAGTAAATGGAGATCAAAGGTGCTGTGTCAGATTATTTATCAGAAAAATATACTCTTTTAAGGACAGTAGTAGAGTTTTTAAATGGTTTTTTTTGTTGGGGGAAAAACATTTACCTTGTTAATTTCTACAAGAAAAAAAAAAGAATTGAGAGACCATCAATCAAGCAGCACTTTTTCAAAGTATACAGAACATAAATAATATGATGTGGTTGAGTGTTAACATAATAAATCATATACAGTATGACATTTTAAAGAAATACGTCTGCATTGATGTGATTGCATGCTTGTTTTTACAGTTCACTCCAAATCGTCTGTGGAAAAAAATGCAATAATATGCTAATCTAGTTACGGTAGTTTGAGAGAATCAGGTAGGGACTACTAGACACATTGAGGGTAGTATAGGTTTACAACATAATCATGTCTTTCAAAGAATACTTTTTTAAAAACAAAGCTGACAAATGAATAAAGTTTACTACTGGGAAGGAAAAGTATTTGTCACAGCAGTGAGCTGTAACTACTATTTCAAAAAATGATTCATGGAATTAATGTCCAGGCCAGCAAAGCACTTAATGGTGCTTAAGTGCCTTGCTGCAGTAAGATTCTGTTTACTGAAACTCCAGTGTCCATTAGTGCTGTATTAATATTTACATCATCATACATTCTTTCTAAAGTCCATACTGCTTAGATTATATAGAACTGCTGCTTACGTTATCCACCTGTTTGTCACTGCGTGATGTGAGATTTTCAGACATTTGGGCATCCTTAGATGTAAGCCGTTCCAAAGCATATTGTCAGTGTAGCATAAGGAAATCATTGGAATTTGTAGCAGTAGATAGGAATTGGACTGTTAACGTCTTCTCTGCTCAGTTGCAGTAGAATCTTTGTTTTGGGTTGCAATTTACAACAGGCCTAAAGAGAGACGGTATGGAAAAAGGTCATGCAATGTTAAGTTAATTCTGGCCTGTCATCACTTCCCATCATATGCACTCAGTTAAATCAGAGGTTCTCAAACTTTTTTCTTAGTATAATAATAGTAGTAGTTTCTCTCTCATAAAGAAACTCTAAGTTTGATACAACACTCATAGACATCAGAGCCTTTTTTGATCAGTCCCCCCCCCCCGTATACCATCCGTGGTTTTAGCACAAGCGCTAGTTATGATTATACCAAGCTCTTTCCGAAACTGACACTTTAATAATTTCATTAGTATAGAATGGGGTTCATTGGTCCAACCTGCAAGTTTTTCTCCATGGATCTGTAATGTTGGCAATAAAGCCATGAAGATTCTTTGCACTAGTGTCCCTGAATCTGTGTGGATCTTGCACTAGTACCTAAGCAGATCTTTATTACTCCTGCTCCCTGATTCAGTGCCTTTTTGACTATTGGAGATTAGAAAGAGCAGGGAAGAAGTCTACTCGAGAAAGGGGAATAGATACTGTCTTTGCCTTCAGAATGGTTTTTTTAATAGCTGAGAGGTGTAGTCTTTCCCTCTTAGCTAACCTCTGGCTTGCAACATACCACAAGCTGTTACTTATTCAGGAAGTGGTGGCTCACCTTTCTACTGATGTGGAAATGCAGGATTGTCTGAATTAGGCTGTAACACACACACACACATACATACTTTCAAGGTTTTGCATGATTTATATAGTCTGTTGAGGATTCCCCCCCCCCCTAGATTCATAATTCCAGTTTGAGAACCTCTGGTTTAGATGAATACACTAACAGCAAGGCACCAACATCCTGTGGAAATGAGCAGTTTAAATTACAGTCTGTGACAAGTAGAAATACTGTGTTATATTGATGGCCTCATGACAGTGACCAAGGAAATTGTAGAACATTATAGTTCTCATGGGGAATGTATTTAGGGCCATATATCTATATAATTGTGTTTTTTTAAAAAAAAAAAAAAACAATACAAGGTATCAAGTTACTACCAATCTCAAATATCTTCCTTTGAAGATATTTGTTTCTTTCATAAGTGTCATTAACAAATCCAAGAAGCAGGTGAAGAAAACTAGTATGTAATCTGAAGCTCATTAATGAACTTGGGACTTTTTTTCACATTTACGAACAGCAGTTCATCTTGCACTGGGATTCTTACTAGAAAGAACAAAGGAGGAAAGCTGATTTTGAAACAGAGCATTGAAGCGGACTTTCTGAGTATGGTATTCATGATAAGGATATCTACCTATCTATATAAATCCCTCAGTGTGGGAAGAAAGGATGGGAGCTTATATAATTTATGATTGTAAAAGCACTGAAGTTACCATGTACGCATGCGTGCATTAGGTATTTTGATTGTGACAGTGTGGTTACATGTGCTTCCATGTAACATTACAGTTCAAGTGTAATTTAGTGCCACTTACTGTAAAGTGTTACCGTACAGAAAATAAAAACACTTGAATTTACTACTCTGTAGAGACAAAAAGTAAATGCTGATAAACTGAAATTCATGAACTGTTCTGGCCACCCTACAATTTTATCCAAAGCTTTCCTATATTTCTCCTATCTTCTCATTCTCTAGAAATGACCATTTTTAGTGAACATACCAAAAATAAATAAATAACCCTTCCAGGTACTCAAATATTTCCTGATTGAACTGTCTAGCAGAAATAACTGAGTAATGCTTTTGATTAAGTGGCACAAAGTACACACTAAAAACTATGCAAAAATATAGGTAACTACGGTGTAAGTATCCTGTACTTTCTCTGTATAGATATTGGAAACCCATGTATTTATAATATGCATTTTGATTATTTTATAAGAAAGGAGATGAGTCTTTGGTGTTAAAAGCAGTGAGCTATAAACATACAAACACAGCTGGTATCCAGAAGTATGTGCATTTCCCCTGTCACTTCCAAATAATATTTTAGTTATTGTAAGCCATATTTTTCTTGAGATCCAACCACCACTCGGTTATGTCTCTCCTCTTATTTAGGTCCCTAAAGGCTCTTTCCATACACCTTTGGGGCAAAGACTTCAATTCTGCTAATAGCTTTGCTGCCAGCACACTGTCTGGGAATGTTGCTCAGTGATCTATTTCTAGCCCAACAGTACAAGGTTGCTCTTTTTATCTTCCTTGAGGGAGCCTTGCATGCTAAGATGTTTGAAAAGTGTTGCCATTTGCCCTAGTATTTTTAGCTTGAGCGATGGAAAGAGAGGAAGACAGAACTGGAAAGAGAAGTCCAGAGAACTGCATTCTCCTGACCCCTATTTTGTTGATGCACCTCACCTCGAATTTCTGCTATTTATTTCCCAATAGTGTCACGTAATCTTACATTGTGAGTACAAAATGCTTCCATCAAACCAGAGAGGATGCCTTTAATGATAAAGTTAACTTTTTTTCCAAACATGACATTTTATATCATTGATCCTTTTCATCTTGTCATTTTTTCCATCATGCTCGTCCAAAAGCAATGCATTGAAAGTAGTGAGATAACACAGAACA